GTTGAACAATATTAAGTACAATCACATTACTGTGTGATTATGATCACCATCAATCTCCAGAACTTTTTCATCTCAAACTCTGTCCCCGTTAGACACTGTCTCCCTTGCGAACCCTGCAAATACCATTCTACTTTCTGTCTTTATGAACAAAAGTTCTTAATTTCGATGAAGTCCAATGTATTTATTTCATTGCCTGTGCTTTTGATGTCATATCCAAGAAACTATTGCCAAAGCTAACGTCATGAAGATTTTCCCTTATGTTTTTTTGCCTTATATTTTCTTCTAAGAATTTTATAGCATTAAGATATATTTTTATTTGTATAAACAGAATTATGTTATATGTCTCATTCTGTTTGTTTTCCACTCAGTGTTATATTTTTAACATTTATCCATGCTCCTACATGAAAATTGAATCTGTTGCTTCTAACTATGGCACAGTCCTCCCTCAGTGTTTACCCTGACCGTTTATCACTTACTCTCCTTGAAGGACTTCAGATGCCTCTATAATCTGCTACCAAAGCCCTTAGATGTGTCGCTTAAGGGTCTATAATGAGATTTTCCAGGGGCGACTCCAGAGAGGAATGGCTGGGCCCTAGGGCGTCCATAAGCTTAGCTGCACTGAGTAGTGTACCATTTCCTGGATGGCTGTTCCAGTCTGCTTTTCCACCAGCAAGGCAGAGGGACCCCTAACCTCACACCCTTGCTGAAGGTGGACATCATCCAGCTCCCTGATTAATTCCTCATTAATGGGCACAAAGTGACGTTTCATTATTTTATTCTCATTGCTCTTATTAATAATGTTTGAACATCTTTCCGTGTGTTTATTAGCTCAAAGAGTTTCCTCTTCTGTAAACTGCTTTGTCTATATTTTGCCTGTTTTTTTCTGTTGGAGTATTTTGTTGTTGATACGCACAGGTTCCTTGTGTATTCTGGTTACTAGTCCCTTGTCAGATTAGACATAATGTCTACAGATTAGACATAGACACCCTTTTGTGTCATGCGTGATCCATGGGACCACAAATGTTTTATTGTCACCTTATTATATTTAGTAATTCTAAATTTTAAAAATGCATCACCTTGCCATACAATAAAAATTGTATGTTGCCTGTTCTGTCCCTTCAATTAAATTAATTCACATGAGTGATGCACTTAGAACAATCTGGTATATGGTCAGCACTCAACGTATGTTACTGTTGTCATCACATATTAAATCAAATTTATGTTTCTTGAGGGGAATTGTCTCACATGACCTACCTAGCATAATTGCCTTAGGATACATTCAAATGATTGAAAATTTAGGTGACTATGAATTTTTTTAACTTTTTTTAAAGTTTATTTATTTTCAGAGAGAGAGAGAGAGAATTCCAAGCAGGCCCCACACTGTCAGCACAGAGCCCCACGTGGGGCTCATCTCACCAACTGTGAGATCGTGACCTGACCCGAAATCTAGAGTGAGACACTTAATCGACTGAGCCACCCAGAATCCCCACTGAACTGTTTATCAGGAAAGATGATTCAGTTATTTAGTAAATTTATTAGAAGACAAGAATAAATAAGGGAGACACAGTCCACTGTTTTAACTCATGTATCATCTTTAGGGCTTTGAGGGTTAGCTATGGCACAGAAATCATAGCATCTTTCAACTTTTAAGAAAGAATTATACCCTGTGGCATAGTTTCAGCCCCTCTGTTCCATTGCATTTATCTCTCTGCTTCTCCACTTTCGGCGCACTGGTGACCCCTTACTTCCTTATTCCAGGTACTGAGAATCACTTTCTTGTCAAAAAAAAAAAAAAAAAAGAAAAGAAAAAAGAAAACAAGAGCTCACAGGTAATATGACCCTTTCCTCACTTTAAATTCCCCATCCCTGGTAAATGCTGTCATAGTTCAATTCCTAGAAACACGGACTTTCACGAAGGACTGAAGTGTCCCCAAGAAAAGTCCCCTCTGTCATCTCCACAAGGACCCTCAGCCCTTCTGCAGAGCTGCACCTTCGCCTCCTGGTCATGACTCTGAACTTGCTCATTGCCCTTGCCCCGCCCCCCATCATGATCAGAACACCCTGTATCATGCAAATGGGCGGGATGGTGCACCAAGAGAATTACAGACATTTGCAGGTGGTGTCTGTGTAACACGACAAGGCTTTTCACCCAAAGCTTCTGTTCAGAGCATCCTATTGAAGACTTGGACAGGTTTGTGCACAGAATAGTTTTTTACATATTTTTTCAAAAACGTGCTTCAGTCGATTAAATATAATTAGGCAAATGCATTGATTATGATGTCAGGAAGGCATTTTCTAGCTAGATTTCCCGTTCCTACAACTCCTGAGATACTCTGATTAACTATGAGAGTGCTATCTGAAATTACACATTTAGTCAGCAGACATTAACGTGTATCTGTTCCCTTTATGTTTGGAGAATGGGGTCATATGGAAGCGAGAGGTTTTCTTGCACAAGTAGTTGAACAGCTTTCATGTAAACAATAATTATTTCCTAATTCTTTTCCATATTTCTCATTAATACCATATTGCCTAACAAAGTTTTAGCCACAAATATTAGGAGGAAGCTGATTCTATCCCACAGCAAATGCAGTGGGATGCCCTTCACATCAGCCATTCCCCTTAAGGTTGCCACATGTAACCACTCCCCCAGAAGTATTTTACTTTGTGCATTTTAATCCAAAAAAAGAAACTGCTCTTAGCAGCTAACTAGGGGTGTTGTTGCTTTTAAAAATGCTGTCAGGTGTTTTCTTTTTCCAGTTTAGAACACTGTTACCTTATGAATCAAAACATGAAAGAAAGGGTCCAACGTTAGCAGTGAACTTTGTTTTCATACATTGAGTTTGTTTTCTTAGCGGTTTTGTAAACTTTGGCCATCTGTCGCTGAGCTGCGAGGACCACATATTTTCTTTGCAAGTGAAGAAGGATGCAATACATTTCACCACCATATGCGTAAGACCAACTATCTACAGAACTAGAACAATGGATCAGAGTCAAGCTGGAGTCAAAAAGCTAACATTTCAGCCATTTTCCTGACAGTATTTCTGCAAACATCTTCACACTATGTTATTTGTACCGTGTCGTTAAGGACTGAATGTGTATGACACCCTAAAATTCATATGTTGAAACCCTAACTCCCAGTGTTGATGGTATTTGAAGATGGGTCTTTTGGGTGGTAATTAGATAAGATCATGAGGGTTGGGCCCCATGGTGGGATTAGTGCCCTTATAAGAAGAGGAAGAGACACCAGAGCTGTCTCTCTCTCTCTCTCTCTCTCTCTCTGCCATGTGAGAACCAAGCAAGACGTCTGCCATCTACAAGCCAGGAAACAGGCTCTCACCAGGAAGAAAATCTGTAGGCACCTCCATTTGGTTGGGCTTTCCAAGCTCCAGAACTGTGAGAAATAAATATCTGTTGTTCTAGCCATCCAGACTGTTGGATTTTGTTCTAGCAGCCCAAGCTGACTAAGACACATGTGATTGGTGATAACCATGGGGACTGAACAGATACATTCAGCATTTCTTTAATGTAAATTTTTATTCAATATTTCTTGGGCTACTTTTCCTCCACTCTGCATATGAAGTCCTATACTGAGGAGAAGACAAAACCAAACGAATCTATCTGGCTGACTGATTGGAGCCTCTGGAATCTTGTGCTGACCATAGGAAATACTATTTGGAAGAATATAAAATGTATCTTCATAATTTACAACCTCCCCTTTTATGGAAAATGATCTCAACTCCCCCCCCCCCTTTTTTTAGTATATTTATTTATTTGGTGGGGGGAGAGAGGGAGAGAGAGAGAGAATCCCAGGCAGGCTCTGCACTGGCAGCACAGAGCCTGTTGTGCGGTTCGAACTCATGAACCATTGGACCATGACCTGAGCCAAAGTCAGAGGCTTAACTGACTGAACCACACAGGTGCTCCGAAATGCCCTCAACTCTTTTGAGAAAAAGAAACAGAGAAAGAGAGAAAGAGAGAGAGAGAGAGAGAGGGAGTGGAGGAGGGGGAGGGGCAGAGAGAGAGGAAGACACAGAATCCAAAGCATGTTCCAGGCTCTGAGCAGTCACCACAGAGCCCGACATGGGGCTTGAACTCACGAACCATGAGGTCATGACCTGAGCCGAAGGCTGACATTTAACTGACTGAGCCACTCAGCACCCCAAAATGATCTCAACTCTTAATTCGTAACAGTGTTGGCAACCTAAGTATATCACCCATGCTCTCCCAGCTTAAACGAGTGTCTGCCTTTTCAAAGATGCTTTTACCTGGAGGAATGGATGGATGGTAGAATTCCATCAACCAGAAAGAATAAGCTGGTGGGCAGCTCTAGTTGGGGCTTTCTTCAGGAGAGAATGGGCACCGCACCACCCAGAGTGTGAGCACCTCTTACATTTCTCATCCCGTGGCCGCATTCAAGGGACCCCAGCTCTCATGGGCTCGGGTAACACCATCTCTTCTCTTTGCCAGTTCTATCTGCTCTATTCTCTTAAAGTTGGGTTTCCGGATGATCTTGTTGCAGACCTACTGGGTAATGCTGATATAAATAATTTTAAAACACTGTATGTATGAACTGGGAGATTTCTTTTTTTTTTTTTTTTTTTTTTTTTTGCCAATACAACAATAAAGCAAGGTTAATTGTTTGAACTGGGAGATTTGGAATTTTACATATACGCCTCTCCCCAAAAACTTTAGAAAAAGCTCATTGATTTTTATCCATTTTTGTGTCCCTCAAAATAACTTCAGATAGTCTCTTATGCCCACATGACTATATATGGCACCGACTTGAAGTAAAATGACAGATTAAAAGATACCAAATGGTCAAAGCACCTGAGTGGCTCAGTTGGTTAAGCATCCGACTTTGGCTCAGGTCATGATCTCATGGTTTATGAGTTCAAGCCCCTGGTTGGGCTCTGTGCTGGTGGTGCAGAGCCTGCTTGGGATTCTCTCTTTCCACCCCCCCACCCCCCCACCCCCCCGTCCTCTCTCTGCCCCTTTCCAACTTGTGCACACGCGCTCTCTCACATCCTCTGTGATGGTCACGAGAGGTACCACTCGGTTCTCAGGGCTGCTGGGGGCTGGCTGGAGCCAGGCTGGGACCTGCAGAGGAGATGGTAAAAACTGCCTCGGGTGCCCAGAGCAGCCCACAGGGACAAAAGGCAGGCCAAAACCAATCTGAGCGAGGGTAATGGACATCTGTCCACTCTGCTTGGGGTTAGTGATGGCTGGCGTGGAACAAGCAGAAGTCTGGTCCAATCTCAGTGGGCAACGCAGCGTATGTTCCAGGCTCTGTATCCACGCAGCCGTCAAAGCCGGAAGGTCCGCTGGTGGTGAAGCGTGATACTGTGTAGTCCTTAGCAAAACCTTTTGGATACTTTTCAAGGTGTGCTAGCTATTCTGTTGGCCTCCCCAGATCCACTGTCTCTCCCCTACTGTATGCCCCAGGAAGCTGGCCTTTCCGGACTGCATCTCCCAGCTCCTGGCCCTTGAGATCCGCACCGGTTCGGCAAGAGGTGCTGGCAGGAGATAAGAGGGGTGGATGAAAGAATCAGGGCATTTCTTCACTGTTTCTTGCTCCAGTCATAGTCTGCCTTCTTCCTTTATTACAGCTCCAGCCAGTGGCCCCTCCAGGACTCCTGGGCTCTACAAACACAGTTTCTCTTCCTTTCTCTTCAAGCTGTTGTGTGGTAACCACTTCCTGCTAACCCTAGTTCCCTGAGGGCTCACCCTGCCTCCTTAGCTTCCTCACCCTTTGCACTTCTATAAATAGTCACTCTGCGGTTAAATTCTTTCCAGTGGAATCCTACTTGCTAGAACCCTGACTGATACCTTCCTATCTCTTTATTCCTATATACTCTTACATTTGTTTTGTATAGTTTTATAACATAAGCCATTTTAACTTCCCACTAAAAGAAAAAAAAGCATAAAACACTGATAGGAGTTCACCTTACAAAAGGTAGGAATTCAGGGAGAAAGGAAATGTAAACATAAGAAAGAAACTGTATTAGAGTTCTCTATAGAGACAGAACCGATAGGAACTAGGTAGATAGACAAGGGAGAGAGAAGCAGAGAGAGAAAGAAAGAAAGAAAGAGAGAGAGATTTATTACAAGGAATTGGCTCATGCAATTGTGAAGGCTGGCAAGTCCGAAATCTGCAGTGTGGGCCAGCAGACTAAAGACCCAGGAAAGCTGATGGTACAAATAGAGTTTAAAGGCAGTCTGCCGGAGAATTCCCCCTTGCCCGGAGGATATTATTCTTTTTGTTCTACTCGTGTGTTCGTCTGATTGGATGAGGCCAACTCACAATATGGTGGACAATCTGCTATATTTAAAGTTCACTGATTTAAATGTTAATCTCATCCAAAAACACCCTCCAAGTAACATAAAATCAACCATCACAGGAACCTAGATAATTGAAAAACTATATAGAAACCCTCAATGATCAGGAAGTAATTAGACCAGTTAAAAACTATTTTTAGTGTTTTTCCTATGTATCGAATTCTAAATTTAGCTAGCAGTTTCCTCTGCTTTTGAACACATGTGGGACACATTTTTTTTTCTTGATCATTTCATTTATTCAGACACATAGAAAAGAAGTGCTATTCATCTGGATACAATGAAACATAAAGATAAACATTTACAAAACAACATATCTAATGGGTTTTTTTGTGCCACTTAAATAGCTCAACCTCTAGTGCCTCTTGACATTCACTAGGCCCCTGGCTCTGGAGTGACTGTCATTGTCCCCACCACGCGCACACACACACACACACACACACACTGGAGGGCTCGTGTGTGTCTGAAATAGATATAGATATAGATATAAATATATAATAGATATAAAATATATATTATGTAAAATATAAATATATAAAAAATATAATATATAAAATATAGATATTTTTTAGACACAAACAAATATACACATATATATATATATATATATTTAGCAGCGTGTGGGTGTCAGGGTCCAGTACCTGGAACACGCTATCCTGTGAGGTTTTGGGCAAATGAAATGTGCTCTTGCAAGCTTTCTACACATCTAGGGAAACATACGTTTTATTCCCTGAGTTCATGGCTGAGATAAGGCCCAATAGTTTTAATCTTTGTAATCAGAATGGGCAAGAACGTGTTTTTAACCTTCCGAATCAAAAGTTCTTTTGTTTCATAGGCACAAAACGACAATTCCAAAAAAAATATGTATGAAGAAATGAATCACTCGTGTAGAAAAACTATTTTATGAGACTCTGGTGTGTGTTGTGGGGGGAGGGGCCAGGGGATGAGAATCTTCATTTAAAAGAGATAAAATGACCCAATCTTAAGGATCTAAATATGCACAAAAATCTCTTCCTCAATGCTTTGTCCACAGCATTAGGTCTCATTCAGACAAATGAAACGGTAGCTTCATTTTTGTTTAATAGGACTCAGAATGCGGCTCAATTCCTTGTGTCATTTTCACACCCAAAGCACTGTTCCACTGAGAGGCAAAGCATTTCTTCCATTAATATGGATCTTGGGGGCGCCTGGGTGGCGCAGTCGGTTAAGCGTCCGACTTCAGCCAGGTCACGATCTCGCGGTCCGTGAGTTCGAGCCCCGCGTCAGGCTCTGGGCGGATGGCTCGGAGCCTGGAGCCTGTTTCCGATTCTGTGTCTCCCTCTCTCTCTGCCCCTCCCCCGTTCATGCTCTGTCTCTCTCTGTCCCAAAAATAATAAACGTTAAAAAAAATTAAAAAAAAATATATGGATCTTGATGTTGTCATAATACTTTTTATCAAGGAAACATTTTAATTTTGTGTCCTGAGAGCTCTTTTATACCAGAGCCCACAGGACAGTGGGCAGGAAATTCCACAGTAACTCCCTGAGGAATTGCACTCCAAGAAAGATGCACATCAAGAAAGAAAGATGCACTCCAAATGTGAAACGGTGCAGCCACTGTGCAAAACGGCATGGAGCTTCCTCAAAAAAATTAAAAATAGAATTACCACATGATCCAGCAATTCCACCTCTGGGTTTGTATGCACAATAATTGAAAGCAGGGTCTTGAAAAGATATTTCTACACTCACGTTCATAGCAGCGTGATTCTCGATAGATAAAAGGTAGAATCAACACAAGGGTCCATTTATGGATGAATGGATAACAAAAGCAGTCTGTCCAAACAGTGGAATATGACTCAGCCTTAAAAAGGAAGAAAATCCTGACACAGGCTACAACATGCATGGATCTTGAGGACATTGTGCTAAGTGAAATAAGCCAAGCACGAAAAGACAAGTATTGTGTGATTCCACTCACATGAGTTACCTAGAGTGGTCAAGTTCATAGGGACAGAAAGTGGAAGGGAGGTTACCAGGGGCTAGGAGGAGGGGATTGGAAGTTAGCGTTTATTGGGTACAGAATCTCAGTTGGAGGTAATGAAAAAGTTCTGGAAATAGATAGTGGTGATGATTGCACAACATCATAAATGCACTTAGTGCCACTGAACTCTACATTTAAAAATAAGTAAAATGATAACTTCTATGTTACATATATTTTGCCACACACAAAAAAGATGCTCCAAGGTGACCCCTACCTATTCCTGCCCATAAGAGAAACTGCTGGTACATTTACCTCAAACACACTCACACACACACACACACACACACACACGTGCACACGCACACATGTATATATGTATGTACGTATATATTTTTTTCAATGATAAATTGGACTCGGTGGGCCCCCCATTAAGGGATCCCACTTCATATGACCAAACTTGAGTTATTTGTAAACTGTGTAGAGTTTTCATGCTAATGTATAGTATGATTTTAGTCATCCTCAGTTAGTGCTATCATTGTCCTCAGAAAATTGTAAGTAAAGACCCTTCTGGTTTCATAAGGAGAAGATATTGGGACAAGGTCATGACCAATTCACTCAAGATTCTGTGCCCAGGTTTGGCAGTCCAGACTTGTACCCTTACACAAAGATGCCCTAGGCACATTTCCTTCTGTCTGTGAGTACTACACATTTCAACAGTAATTAGCAAATACACACACACACACACACACACACACACACAAAAGCAGACAACAACAAAAACAAACAAGAAACTGCTAGAGATTGACACTGAACAACAACAAAAGTTAAAACAATATAATAGCAAACTACCCCGTACAGTCTTATTTTGTAAGATTGATTTTATAAGTAGTTCCATTAAGGATATTGGCTGTATTTAGAAATAATATTTTCATGTTCCAGTTCACTGGCACTGAAGACAATAGCCATATGCATATATGCACTGTTAAATAGATGCAAGAAGAAGATTTGATCGTTCCATTTCTCAACAGCCTGTTTATACAACTCTGCGAAGACAAAAATCCAAGAAGTAATAGGCCCTCTGCTCCAAATACAATTTTAATGAGCCATAGCAAATTTGAGAACCAAATCTTTCAATTGTGTCCAATTCAGCTGCCTGTTTACAGACACACTCTGTTAGTTCCCTAAAACAAACTTTTCTGCTATATGAAGTCATTATCCTTAACACAGGAAGCAACTATTTGTTAGTTATGGTTTGGAACCCTCTATTAATAACATAATATCATGAAAAATGTTTTCTAGTAGGTGGGGAAGAAAATCCATCCAATAGAACAAAATACTTGTCTGCTCTCATCAGTAGTTTATCAGTGTAATCCAGAAATTCATTGACAGATACAATTCTGAGCATTTATTTTCCATTTGTATCTTTTTAGAAATTTTTGACACATCTGAATTTCTTTTAGGCTTAATTACATTTCTCTGTCATCGCTGGAGTGCATGTTTTAGGTAAGCCGCTGAATCAACTTCTTTGCCCTTCAAGTATATTTTGATCTGATTTAAAACGAAGCAGCACTGACTACACAGACGACATAGTAACTCAAGTCAGTCAGTAAATCAACTCGGCTGAGTTCAGTTGTTGGGCTCCATATACCCAGCGATTACTCAAATGGCATGGGTACGGCCATTGAACTTGATGATGCTAAAACCAGAAAATTATTCCTAGTAAGCTGAAGTCAGGGTTCATTTTGTTTTATTTTCCCCACGTCTCCCTTATAAATGACTCTTCCCCCAATCTGAAAACTGGACCCACCTTCACAATAAATGTTTTGATCATCACGGTAACAACCAGCCTTGGGCCCCCACCATGAATATCCCTGTAGGAGTGTGGGTGTCATCCTGTCGTTTCTGAGTTCTTCAAACAATTACCTCAAAACGGAATACATGGCTGGTACTTAAATCGGTGGTTTAAAATCCCATCGGTAGAATATTCCTCAACATCATGCTCCGGTTTGCCGTCTATGTTCTCTTAGAGGTTTTTAGTTTGTCACTTGGTCAAGAATCCTGTTTAAGGGTACTTGGGCTATACAATGCAGCATTTCAGAATGACTTCATATGCCTCGTTATTTTACATTAATAGATGTGTGTTGAGCACTTTAGGGCACCAGGCACCATAGCGGGCTTTGGGGATTTACAGTGACAAAAATAGACCTGGCTCTGCCCTTATGGA